TGGGCTTCCGGTAACCTCACTCAAACGACGAAACACAACGCAAGCGTTGCTTCACGTCGGTTTTCTGTGAGGCCGTGGTATTACTCCGGTCGAGCCGGCCCATTCGTGCCGAAGCATGGCTCTCCCACACTTAATCTAACTCTATGGAATATAGATGTGATGGCACACTATAAATACTAATAAGCTTTAAACATGTAACCTGGTTCGTTTTAATCAAAAGTCTTAACAGCTAATCTTGCAGTGATACACATTGCGGTGCCGTGACGTCATTATGATAACACATGTTGCAACATGGAAAGCGTTTAAGCAAGGATGCATCGAGTGACGTCACAGTTGTGGGCAGCTAGCCTACGTGGTCAATGCGGATGTGTGCATACATTTCGTCCCAAATTACGGTAAACTATGTTGCGCCTGCTTTACGTAAGACAAGACATTCTTATGACCAAACTGTTCAGTTTAGCGATAAATATCTCTGTTAAGTTACGATAGTATTATATCTGCTCACTACGTAAGTTAACTCTGGGCAAAATTTCATCTAAATGCATTTAATCTTTTTGGGATGATTGAGTAAGAAATATCAGGCTTTAAAAATTAGCATTTTTTTTGTCAAACCACACAGGGACCAGCGTAACGTATAAACTCAACATGAACGAAACAAGGAAACGAAAATATGTATTACAACAACATTACAAAGAAATTTCAACAAAAAATATACCAAAGAAAATCATAGGATTTTCCCCACACAAATAGCTACATGAACGGAAACATTATTATATGACTTTATCAGTTTTGTTTTCCATAAAAACTGTACGGTTAATGTACGTACAAGTTAGATTTAATGTGTTCATTAAATGCCATGTTTGTTCTACCGACTTGGGAGAAATGACTTGGATTTTTATTACTCATATTTCTTTGAGATTGTGAAGTTTACGCCCGTCTCGATTGCTATAAAAGGTGAGTAAAGAAACGATTAATAAGTAATAACTAAAGGACACATTGTTGATAATAGATTCATGACCAATGTAACGTTTTATAGGTCAAAATACGTCATTAGTCATAAACATAGTCACGTTATAATCATAAACTTGTCTTAGCATACTTAGTAGGGATCTTATCATCCCTCTTAAATGTCCTGTGGCACACAAACCATTCAATTTTAAACACACATTGACGTATTTGTTTAGTAAAGTAATTTAAAGTTTATAGAAACCGTTCGATGGTTGTATCTGTTTGGGTTTTCATATAAGTTTGACTTTGAAATAGGACAATTGAAGCAGACAGCTATTTAGTATTTAGTCGAAGTTGTGTAATGAATATTTTGTGCAAACAAGGTAAATTGTGTGTTTTATAATGTTTTTGATCATAAATACAAATAGGGAATATTGTTTTGTTAGTGAATTCGTTGAGTATTCTCTTAGCGTGTTTATAAGGCATTGATACACCCACATATCAAGTAGGTATTAAATAATAGTTAAGTATTTTCTAATTTTAATTAATGAATTTCACAATTTTATAAACAACAAACATGTTAGTAAATATTATGTTGTTTGGGTTTTAAATATCACTGTTTTACGAAGTAACTCGATCGGTTACGAGCTGCACCTCGGGTCCATAGACATAAGCAGCATGCACAATGACCGGCGCGGTTGGAGTCAGTTACGGGTGTCCATGGACGGCGCTGATCGCTTACCATCAGGTGATCTGTCTGCTCGTTTGCCTCCTATTCCATAAATATTCCATAATCACTCAGCTAACTAATACAAGTCATACAAAAAAGGAAAATAGAAGTCTGGAATTCAGTTGTGAAAGTGATAATACATATTTACGAAACCTATACCTAACAGATAGAATACTGTTACTTAAGGTACGAATAGACGACGACTGTGCTAATTATACATATACGGAATTTTTGTGTCTAGGATCTAAATTGTAGTGTATGGAATTTATGACCGAGCAGTTCATATATGTACACAACTTTTTTTTATGGCAGTTTTTTTTAAACGATCAGTCGGATCACCTGATGGTAAGCGATCAGCGCCGCCCACGAACACAATTTTTTCTTTAAGGGGGAAAGTCATCGAGTGGCTGCTCCCGCCTGAGTGAGGCGGAGGGAGTGTCAGACTCTTACTGACTAAAAACCACCCCGTTCCTTCTCCTGCACGTCGAGCCGGAGCCCCGGTTACCCGTTAGGTTCTCCGCGTCCCATGAACACAATATGATGTCGTCGTCTATTCGTACTTTAATCGAATTCCTTTCTTTAGTCTTATCTTCAAAATTCCAAATTCCAACTTCTGTACCGTATCAAATCAGCAATTATAATATTTTCAAGCATGTAATAAAACCAATTATAATTCAGTTTACAATAGTGGGGAACCTTTAGTCACACATAGTTTGACTATGCGCCATTTTTTACCCGACTGCCAAAGAAGGAGGGTAATGTTTTTCGAGTGTATGTAAGTATGTATGTATGTCTTTTCCTTTGTGACCACCTGTAGCCTAAACGGCTTGATGGATTTTGATGTATGAGGTATCGTTAGATTTGTCTTGATTACGGGAGTGTCATAGGATACATTTTATCCTAAAAGTCCCACGGGATAAAGACATAATAATATTTTTTCTAAATTTCCCTTTAAAAAAATATGTATGCGGTATCATTAGATTCATTTCAATCACGGGAGTAATTAATATAGGATACGTTTTTTCTCAAAATTCCCACGGGAACATGTTAATTCTGCGTCAACGCAAAGCAACTCATGCGTTAGCAAGCAAAAAGATAGGGCGTGGCCTGGCATGCGGCGCGCGGCGCGGTGCGGAGGGGGATATGCTCGAGTATACAGCCGATTGCGGGCACACGCATGAGGGCACACGTCGTTGACGATAGTCTTCTACATCTACAACATTTTCGTTAAATAAAAACAGCTAAAAAGTTATAAATAAAAAAATTATTATTAAAAAAACAAAATACCCGACTGCACACTAAAAAAAGAGTAAAACAAGCCCACAATAATATTGATCAATCAAATGCTAAAAACTAATTATGTAATACCGTTTAAACAATACCTATATTAAAATACACTACAATATGTGTTCGTAATCGATAGTTAAATAAACAGAAACTTATTTTGAATACAAATTTACTGAATAAATTTATAAATGTTGATGGAAAGCATCGCAGGCGGGGACCACCTTGACCGCCACCAACGAAAATTCTGCTAAATGGCGCACAACCGAAATGACTATAAATAAGCCTCTGTTGGTCCCCGCCTGCGATGCTTTCCATCAACATTTATAAATTATATTCAGTAAATTTGTATTCAAAAAGTTTCTGTTTATTTAACTATCGATTACGAACACATATTGTAGTGTATTTTAATATAGGTATTGTTTAAACGGTATTACATAATTAGTTTTTAGCATTTGATTGATCAATATTATTGTGGGGCTTGTTTTACTCTTTTTTTAGTGTGCAGTCGGGTATTTTGTTTTTTTAATAATAATTTTTTTATTTACTTGTAGACATTTAAACTTGAAAATGGACCTGGCCATTCTTAACACGTTAATCGCCTTGTGGGTCATCGCTGACCGAGTGACGTTAACGAAGGATTTGTCTTTAACAATTTTGTATTGGAAGAGTGGTTATTTTATGTGTGGGATAGCCATGCTTCGGCACGAATGGACCGGCTCGACCGGAGTGATACCACGGCCTCACAGAAAACCGACGTGAAGCTACGCTTGCGTTGTGTTTCGTCGCCTGAGTGAAGTTACCGGCCCAATTACCCTCCCCTTCCCCAATCTCCCCAATTCCTGAATCCCCAACGATCCTCAAACTCCTAATCCCCAAAAAACCCGGTAACGCACTTGTAACGCCTCTGGTGTTCCAGGTGTCCATGGGTGACGCCGATTGCTTACCATCAGGTGATCCGTGTGCTTGTTTACCGGCTTATGCCATAAAAAAATTGGAAATTTTGTATTAAGATACACAATTTTGTTGTTGCACTGTTTTACCTCCTTCATATTATTACACGATAAACATAAGTGATGGATATTTGATACAAATTACGTTCTTAATTTAAAATTTATCTGGTAGGTACATAGCGGCTATCTAGACATAGTGAAACAGGCCCTTAATGGAAAAACCTTTTAAAAATGAGAATCGCGTAAAGTGTTAAAACCAAAACAATACTAATCTAACCAAATTTATATATCATATTAAGCTAGCTCTGCTACTAATTTTATTAGGATACTCATAAGTCATTCGAGACTATAACCTACTTCAATGCCATTTTTATCTAGAACCGTGCAGCCGTTTCAAAAGCATTAAGTAACAAATACATTTACACATACACAAAATCATTCATATTCATAATTATTAAAATATACTTAAAATAACATCTCTTATCCCGTAAAGGGGTAGGCAGGGGTGCACATTACGACCCTTAATGCTACTGTACAACGTAACATCTACTTTTTACTATTTATGTAATGAGTCCCTTGTATTGAGAATATTTTTAAAAACCCAGTAAGACTTTTCCTCACCCAAGAATCGAACCCGAGACCTCTTGCCCAGCAGTATCACTACATAGTATAAAACAAAGTCGCTATGCGCTGTCTGTCTGTCCCTATGTATACTTAGATATTTAAAACTACGTAACGAATTTTGATGCGGTTTTTTAAATAGATAGAGTGATTCTTAAGGAAAGTTTATATATATAATACATGAATATTGAACCCGTGCGAAGCTGGGGCGGGTCGCTAGTAAATTATAAACTATAAAATATATTAATATATACATTCAGATTATTATATGTTTCAGCCACTAAGCAGCAACAATAACATAGTATAAAGAGTCTACATTGAACTGTTTACACAGCTTGGCCGACGAACAACAAATAACAAACTTTTCAAATAACTAACTACAAGGAGTTTAGTATTGCACGATAACTTGGTAGAACATATTGTTGTGAATATAAAAACAGATTAAATATAATATTTGCTGCACAATGGGACTTTCAACGTTCATGTTGACCGCCTTCTTAGTCGTTATGACTAGTGGTAAGTTTTAGAATTACGTTTCATTATACATTTGTTGATAGAATGTGCTAGGAACAATAATTAATTATTATATTTTCGGATTACTCTCTGACTGTTTAACTCGAGGAACTCGAGGAACTCGACTAGTTTCAAGCCATGCTGGAGGCTCATATTCATGAGCGGCGACTGCCGCGCTGCTACAGTAGCAACAATATAGTAGAAACTAGTCGAGTTCCTCGTCAAACAGTTACGTTAGTAAGCCGAAAACATAATAATTAATTAGTATGTCTCGTGAAAGTTTTAATAGGAACAATAATGAAAGGAAATCATTAATTTGAAAATATCATACATCAACAGTCTCTAAGTGGCCACTGCTGACCAAAGGCCTCTTCTCACACAGAGAAGGTTTGAGCATTAATCACCACGCTTGCTTAATGCGGGTTGGTGATTACAAACTTATAATTAGAAAATATAAGCCCAGGTTTCCTCACGATGTTTCCCTTCACCGTTTGTCAGTGGTGTCTAAATAATCTTAGAAAGTACATTTATGCAGGTTAGGTAGGTTTCGAACTCGCACCGTCATGCATGAGAAGCACGTCTTAAATAAACGCATGTTATTCTCTCGGGGAGTCGTCCAAATTCAACTTGTCCAGCATTTGTCCTGTATTTATCTTGATTGTATTAAACATGAACTTGACTGTTATAATCACATGTTAATATCTCGAAACCTTCATAAGGCGCCTAGTTTTTTGGGGAGAAAGACTAGGGAGTGTGGGATTCGTACCTCACTAAAACCACCCGGTGGCCACCCTCAGCATCTGTAACCGGGCACCGGGTCCTCTGAAGAGACCTCCTCCAGAAATATCTCAAAACCTACCAACTTTTCTTACTTTTTTAACTTAATATAAAAATAGCGGCTCCATTCTTTATAATATAATGTTTTAGTTCATAAGTAATTTTTAATTATAAAATATTAATATTGAACTTTATTTCCGTCGGAACAGGATTTAATTATGGCCACTTCTTTTTAGCTGGCTGGCCAGGATGGCCCACAGGAGACAATCCTTTTGCAGGGTGAGTAGCGACTTTGACTACAGAGTTGTCTACATCCTACTAGGTACGACGAACGGTCCCTTCACGTCAGAAATTAAACAAAGCCAAACCTTCATCGGTAATTCAGAAATTACAAGGTGTAAATGAACAAATTCAAATTTCGATTTATTAGGTATACTAATTTACGATGAATGTCTATTCCAGAATTTGATGGTCGAAGTTTTGAATTGACTTCAATTATACCTTGTATGTACTTACATGCTCTTTTAACGCATTAATTTTCTTATGACTGTTTCAGATACCACTCACCTATGGTAAGAATATTAATATACAAAATAGGAAATAATAAAAACAAAACATTGATACTACTCTACAAGTATACACATGTGGCGTAATAGTATAATTCCACCATTTACGGTGCGTGATACGCCACGCCAACGACATCGGAAATACGTGCTGAAAAGTGTTCTGATTTAGATTCCATAGTCAGAAAGCCCCGCTCAGCGGGGCTCCATCAGCCTGACTTCAATATTTGCCTTTGGCATAATAACTGCCAGAAATTTTTGGTTAACTATGCTGTAAACCGCGGAATTATACTATTTACCTGCAACACAATAAATTTAACAAAAAATAGTTCGTCTTTGTGATTATTTCCAGCTATCAGCATTACGTTTCGGTCCAATCTCAATGCCGAATCCTGGTTTTCCAAAGTTCCCCACGATCCCATCACCAACGTTCCTATTTCCTTTCCCAACTATGCCAACATTCCAATCTATACAAGATATGGTAAAAACAATGCCAAACAAGGGCTCTTACTCTGGCGTGGTAGTGAGCACACAGACAGAATCGAAAATGAAAGATGATGGTACTCTGGTCAAAAAGGGCGGTTCTACTATTGTGATCAACGACGACGGAAAAGTTACAGTGCATACCAGTAAGTTTAATTAATTATTCTTAGGGTCGATTTTTCCAACGCCAGATAAATTTTAACTGAGGAATAGCTTTGAATATTTTGACAATTCATCCATACTAAAAACTATTAACCCCTCGAGCGTCCTTATGAGCACCCGGTGGATCATAAGAAAAAATGCTCCATGCTGCTTTCTCTTTTATAAAATGTATTATTAATGTTTTGTTTTTATTTTGACTGTTTTTTTATTTCTATTGTAGTGATCCTTGTTTTCGTGTGCCAATGGCCAAATAAATGCATTTTCTTTCTTTCTTTCTCCAAATGTCACGTGTGCACCTGTTGGATTATAAGGAACGCGGACGCTCGGCGGGTTAAATGTCAATTTTATTCTACAACTAGAAATTAACTGACGATTCAAAAATCGGCCCCTAATGTATCTAATAATGCGACTTAGATGAAAAAGTAACAGCTAGAACAAAAAATGATCAAGGACTACGAAACTTGAAACAGACGTCCCGATACGCTACGCAACGTGCTACGACACTCGTAGCACCGTAGCACTGCGCTACGAAATTTTAAATTATTTGTTTTTATAAATATAGGGAATAATTTTAATGTCATTTAATTAAAAATATCAATTTGCAGCTGGAAACAACCCACCGGACTTAAACCAGATGAAGTAAGTTTTTGAAAAACCCTTCATACATAAAATGAGTTTATGATCGTTAACTTTTATACATACATTTTAATACTTTTATTTGTTCAGCGAGAAAGCGGTAAGCAGTAGTTAACAGGAACCATGTAAAATACATAACATTACATTACATACAATATTTTACATACAACACTAATTATACAATTTGTTAAACACAGGCCGACGACAATAACACTACATCAACAGGTGAATACTAAAAACATAAAAATACCTCCCTCCTATTCCTTTTAAACAAAGACGAACTTTTCTCTTTTTTCAACATACACACCTCACTCTCTCACTCGCACTACTATTTTTTAATGTGTATAATTCATTTCGTATTGAAATATTTAATCAACATTATATTTATCTTTTTCAGAAATATAACTTCCCCCCGTATAAGGTACATATAAAATATTAAATTATTTTGTTGTCTTTTAATGTCACATTATATACATTGTACTCCTTGACGAATATCTCATAATACAAGAATACATATTAAAAAAAATAATGGGCAAAACAACGCTATTTTTTGAGTAAACAGCAGCTGTAGCCAAATGCAATTGTAGAGTAGAAATCTAAAATCTATGGGATTGACGTAAATTTTGACGTCATCCCTATACATTTAGTTCTCTATTCTCTCGGTAGACAAGCGCTAAAGTGGCGTTTGGCTAAAGGTATAGCAGCTGTAGCCAAAGCCATTTAGCGCTTTTCTACATGTAGAATAGAAAACCAAATTGTATGGAATTGACGTAAATTTTGACACTTGTCAGTATCATCCCCATACATTTTGATTTCTATTCTCTCGGTAGACAAGCGCAAAAGGGGCGTTTGGCTAAAGGCACAGGTGTTAAAAGTGCCTGCATAGTATTAATTTGTTTATTTTGCAGAATCCCGCGCTAGGCGTTTGTAGGTAAATCAAAATTACAAATTACGATCATTCTTTTTCGGCTCGTAATATATTAAAAACTTTATGGTTGTTTTTTTTTAATTGTTTCTTCACTCTTTGGTTTTTGATTTGAAGACGACTAATAACTGGTTGTGTGTGTGACACATGTTTTTATTTGCGCCAGCATCAATGTTTTGGTTGAAATTAAAAAAAATGTGTTTAATTATAACTTGTATCGTAAACACTACACACACTTCACTTGCACTTTATACATGCTTCAAAGTCACATTTTTTTATTTGTAATTTGTTTCAGAAATTGTGTTTTAAATACCGCAAAATTCCATTAACCAGCTCTTCTCATTGGATGGTTTTCTGGTTTATTGATTTTGGTTTTTTTTTTGGAACCTTTAAGACGAGCTGATAGTATGTGTGTGATCTGTGTCGTATTATTTGATCACGAGTTTAAATTAACAATGACAATCCAACCACAAACTCTTGGCATACTCCTCGCACTTCACTCTACTCTTGGCCATACTCTTTAAAATTTTAATTTCAGTAAGTGAGATCAGGGCTATTTGTCACAAAAGTCATATAACAACTTATGACAAACGACCACAGAGATAAACCCGGTCTCCCGTTACTCCGGTAACGCAAATTTTAACATTATTTATTTCTTTTTTCTTCCACAGTTTAAGCCAATTAGACCATTTAAGATGAAGAGCGTGTTCGATAGTTTTGAAAACTTCCAAAATTTCGACGATTTTCCCAAATTTCCCGAAATAAAGCCGATTGACTTTGATATGATCAAGACTTATCAGCCTGGAAACGGGGAGAAATTCCAAGGCCATTCCATCATCAGCAACTCATACTCGTCTAATAACAATGGCGAGATATCACAAGGAGGCCACATAGCAGTCGTACAAAATAATAACGGACAAGTAAAAGAAGAAAAGATAGTTTTTTGAAAAAAGAATAATACGAAAATTTTGTACCATCTTAGTTCTATGTTTCATTGTTAATTCAGCTTTATTTCTGAAGATTCAAAGTTGTTTTTTGAGTAATCATGTTTTGTTTTTTCTTTATTAAATTTTTAAAGCGATCATGTCTTGTCACCAACTTTTTTAAATAGTTTTTTTTTCAATTTGTATAGTTTTTTATTCAATTTACTAGCTACATGTAATTTTAGTAAAATTACACTTAACCATTTGTTATTAATAATTCATAATCATTACTTGTTCAATATTTAACGTAGAAACTTATTCAAATTAATATATTTTTAAGTTTTGTATATCAATTTAATCCTTTTAGAATTATTAATTTTACTTATTATGAAAATAAATATTTGGAAACGTTTTGTGTGCCTTTCATTTTCTGGATGCATCAATGCATGTAAATTAAATCATAGTAAAAAATATTTGCCACTTACATTACAAGAAACCATATAATGAGAAGTCAACGTATTGTCATTATCAGATATAATTCAAAACACTATTCATCTACTAAAAAAATGAGAATGAATAATACAATGTATAACTACATGCTCATTTACTCAACCATTTAAAACTTAGGAAATAAAATATGTATTTAGAATATCTAAATATTACAGACACCGTGTATCTGAATTTAATAATATAAAATACAAATGTAGTGAACATTAATAACTATTTTGCGCCTTATCGCTTTTCAATAGCAAAACGTCAAAATACTGTTTCAATCGACAAAAGTATTACTAGTAGTATTCCGTAAGGTTCTATTGCATCGATTTTTAAAGAAGTAATGCGTAGTTTATCGTTTTTATTAAGCATTTCAGCAATAGTATGTCAAAACAAACTAGATCAACAGATGCTCAAAATAACTGATCATCTGTTAGACTATTGGACTTCTTCTGCATAAGATGATAATCTCCAGTTTTGGCAAGGGGAAGAAATCACATCTAAGTTCAGGGGGCTTACTCTTGAATCCAATTCCGATCGATCGACATTCGTATTTTGAAATTAGTACTCTCGAGTTGCAATACTAGCGCCCATTAAGTACATCTGAATTGCGTAGATATTGAATGAACTAAATGGTATTGAGTTTGGCTTTGTATTCGGTACTCTGAATGGTATTTTAAAAACTACGATAGGGGTTGTATAATTTTGACATTGAATAATTATCGAGATTTTATTTCATTGAAATTGCATTGACATTGACATTCAAGAATAAGCACCTAGGTTTTTCAAAGAGCGCTGCTACCTATTGCCCAGTCTCTTTTAAATATGGTGGATTTCTTAGGGAGTGTCCATATTAGTATTATAGGATAGCATATATATAGCATATTAGTAGTAGCACGGAATTTGGAATTGCGACCGGTATAGGGCAATAGGCTCACCCACCGGTATATGGAAATATGAAATGCTTCCGAACTGTTTGTTAGAAAACGAAATACCCAATTATGTAATTTCTTTCTAAATTGGATTTTTGTCATGTTATATTTGATTATTTCGCATTTTATTATTATTTAAATTGTTCTGTTGATTTTAGTTTTTGTTTTTGAGTAATATGACTGATCCATGCTGTATGGATTAAATTGCAATGTAATTTATGATTATGATTTATGATAATGTATGAAGACATTCAGATACAATGTAAATTGTTTATTGAATAAATGAAATGAAAATGAGAAAGAGTGCAACAGGACTATTGGCACTTGTATGCAAGTTTGACATCGACAGGTGATGATATGTTATGTTATGTAAAAATTTAAAACCTAACTAAACCCTAGGCCTTGTGCTCTACAGTCATACTCTCAAGGACTCAACTAAAGCACTGTCATTGAAGTAGTTAAAAACTCTTTAAAACAAAGCGGTAGTACCTGTTTAAAGAATAATATTGCCCCAAGTACAGCCTAAAGTTTCCATGAAATAACAACAAAACAGTAATGTTTCAAATTGTAAGAAAACAAAGGGAAAGTCATTCATCATTATGTTGATTAGTTCAAAGTATTCATCCTTGTTATACATATTATAATTAAAGTCGTTACAAACATATATTTTAAACTGATGATCATTAACTAAAATCTTTCAAAGTTTGCTTTGTATAGAAGAGTAACTTGGGCAGTTTTGATACAGATAAGTAAACATTTTCTTAGCATGAGATCGATCGGACATTTAAGCCTTTGACTACCGAGAGACTGCCTCGTTGGTCGAGTGGTCGCAAGTGCGACTGCCGTGCAAGGGGTCTCGGGTTCGATTCCCGGGTCGGGCAAAGTATTTAGGTTATAAATAAATTCTCAGTAGTAGCACGGAGTCTAGAATTGTGCCCGGTATATGGCAATAGGCTCACCCCCTATTACATGGGACTCATAAAATAAATAGTGAAAAGTGGGTGTTACATTGTACAGTGCCATTAAGTGCTATAATGTGCACCTCCGTCTACTCCTTCGGGGATAAAAGGTGTGATGTTATATTATATTACATTTTGTATTTTTTCCAGTTTTAGGCCTGAAATAAAAAAAATATGATGAAAATTCGAAATTCTCGACAACTTGCTCGACAATCAGATTACTGGAGCAAGGAAGCAGACAATGGTCAAAAGTGAGTATGTAATACATTATGTTAACTGCATTAAACTATCCATTAAGAATCCAAGACCCATTGCCCTGCAGTAGCACTTAGGACCACTCGGCCAACGAGGCAGTCAGTCAAAAAATATAAAACTGAAAACATACATATTAATAAAAAACCACATCGCCCCATTCTCCTCATTTTAGCCAGAATTTTATTGTTGACCGCTTCAAGGTTGTTACTGTTGAAGGTATAAATACGTCCTGAATTTTACATGTTTTTCATAATATTATAAGAAACAGTGTCAACAGTTGGTCGTCTTGAAATTCAAAGAAATTCAGAACAATGTCGAAAATTATTTTGTTTGTTGCTCTCGTTACGCTTATGTGCGTTACTGGTACGTATTATGTGTTAATTGTTTATTTATTGAGATGATTTTTTTATACAAATTTCAGTTTTTTTCTACTGACAGACTACTATTTATTTTGTATTTGTTGACGTTTCAAAAGTACCAAACTATGGTTTAATTGAAATAAATGCTTTGAGTTTTGACTTTGACTTTATTATATAACATTGGAATTTTTAGATTAAAATTCTGCCAGTCTTATTATTGTTTGCATTTATCTTTTTATATTTCTTAACTAGTTGACCCGCCAAACTTCGTACCGCTGAATAATTATTTTTTTCACCTTTTATACCTTTCCTGGACTTCCACGAATATTACAAGACGAAAATCAGCCAAATTGGTTCAGCCGTTCTCGAGTTTTGGCGAGATTAACGAACAGAAATTCATTTTTATTCATATAAATAGAGAAAAGTACTTTCTTACGTTAAAATTTTAATAAAGCCTTCAAAATATGCAGGCTCAGTGCTACTGAAGAAATAGAAAAGCTCTTACTTTACTCAGATTGAGCCTACAACCACGAGTTCAACAACCATTTTTGCAACCACGCAACTAATGACGTAATAACTTTTGTTATTATAGGTGCTTTGTACTTGTATAGTCCTTTGTCTGATTCGCATTCTAGTCATATTGACACTTGAGCAAACAATATAATGTATGATTATACTCATACTATGAGTTTCTAGAAAAAGTAGTTATTTACTTTAGTATAGAATTTGCCATTAGATTTTCTAAATTTTATAGTAACTGCTGAATTGGGTAGTTTCCAGGGTATCAAAATTTAAATCTAATTAGACCGTCAGTTAGATAATGAAAAAATATTGGATACGTATCTTTTTATTTTCTCGAGTTTAAGTTGCAATACTTAAATAAAATGGCGCTAAGTTTAGGAGTGGGAGGTAGCTACGTCATAACGTGCTACAAAATGTGACACGCTGTGACGTCACACGATATTTCAAATTAATATATCGTTGAAAGTATTTCATTTAGTGAGAAAAGAAAAATACGTGTCTAAAGTTTTAAATTAATGTACAAGACGGACATTAAAATAAATTTTAGGAAACTACCGTATTTTCTATACAGTCAAAACTTTGTAGGTAGTAATAAATCGGTGTATATAATAAATTAGACTTTTCTTGGTTTTGTTTCAGCACAAAACAACAACAATTGGGCTCCACGGTAAGAATTTTTTATACAATCTAATATAAACAATATTGCCCCATTCTAGTATTTTCTCCTATGTCATGGATTCGTTTACAAACATACAAGTTCACATACGCATGACACCCAGACCCGAAATAACAATTTGTGGATTACACCCGAAATAACAATTTGTAAATCTAAAGCCACGTGGAGAATAATTAATGACTCTAAACTTAATATACCTAGGGACATAATAAGGAAAATTCAAATTGAAGAGAACATGATCACGAAACCTCGAGACATAGCAAACGCATTTAATAAATATTTTATAGAAAAAATAACACCTATTAATAATTCGTGTGAAAATGTAACATCCCTAATAGATAACAGACTCAATTCTTTCTATTTGGCTCCCTGTGTACCTGTTGAAATACATAAGATAATAAACACATTGAAAAATACTCATAGTGAGGGATATGACGGTATTTCAACAAAGGTCATAAAAGCTGTAGCCAGCGAAATTTGTACACATTTGTCCTACATTATAAACCTAAGCATAGATGCTGGCACTTTTCCGGAAGCACTTAAGATATCGATAGTGAAACCTCTATTCAAAAAGGAGAACAGGGAACTTATGCAATTCTACCGACCTATCTCCCTTATAAGTGTAATATCTAAAATATTTGAAAAACACATATATAGACATTTATACAACTATCTTGAGAAAAATAATATACTTACTCCAGAACAAAAAGGTTTTCGTTCTAATAAAACAACAATATGGCTATTTATGACTTTATGTCTACAGTAATAACAAATGTTGATAAAACCACTCCTGTAAGCACCATATTTTGCGATATGACACAAGCATTTGACTATGTCTGTCATAACACTTTGATTAAAAAATTGGAAGCATATGGTATCCGAGGTAACGTATTGCGTCTTATAGAATCGTACATTAGGAACAGACAACAGTACACAGAAATAAACTCGATAAATACACACACAAAACAAGAAGAAATTTATAGATCATCTTGGCGTGTTATCAGATACGGTGTACCCCAAGGCAGTGTTTTAGGTCCTTTACTATTTATCATTTATATCAATGATCTACCCAAAAGCATCAATCAATACGTAACTTTATTCGCCGATGATAGTACCATAACTATACCATGTAAAAGTCGAGATACCTATACCGATAATATTAATAATTCACTAATGTCTGTTATACAATGGTTAGAAAACAATAATTTAAAAATCAATTTGGAAAAAACGAATATCATGCACTTTACACAGAGAGGATCTACCATGTCTAACCTAAATATACACTACAATAATAAAATAATTAATGAAGTTGACAACGCGAAATTCTTGGGTGTAATCATTGACAAGAAACTAAATTGGAAAGCACACACAGAATCCCTAATAAAAAAAATAAGTAAATCTTGCTATGCAATTTATAAATTAGTTCCAGTGCTCAACATTGACGCCCTCCTTACAGCATACCATCATAGTATAAAGAACAAAGTAGGTTATCTTCATACAAATGCTCCGCGCGCGGCTTATATGTGTGCGCCATAGTATCTATGCGTCGACGCACGCACACTTTAACAAAATCTCGACCCGTTTCTCAGTGCGCCAGGCAGGGCTGACACTGTACGAGGTTCGCGCGCGCTTCACGGCTTTTCGGCACTGTTCAATGAAATAAAAAATGTCTGATAATCGTAGAAGAACGTATTGCTGTGTGTTTGGGTGTCTTAATAATTAATCGATTCCAGAACTGTCTCTGTTCAGATTAGGTACCTATTGAACAGGAAAGGTAAGCTAGTCACTTTTTCTAGCATAATATAATTTGTAGGTACTTGATGATGAGATACCTACTTACTTATTCTTACTCTTATCATTCTTCATAGTTCCTACTCAACCAGAAATGTAATTACCTACTATACTTAAATATTATAAAAAAATGTGGTATTGTATTGTTTATTTCACAGTTTATCTGATTTGTTAAGAGCGTAGCCGAGTCGCATTTTTCCATATAAATGTATTCCCAAATTTACTTTCTGAATACTATGTATAGAGCTAAAGTTTATTTTAAGAAGTTAATAATCTTTTTATAAGCTTTTAATTTTTACTAAATTTATAAATTGATAAAATATTCAATCATAATATGCTTTTCATTTCATACATTTAGATCAAGTGCTGCTTGTTCGAAAATATTAACTAAAAGTAAAAGTGACAACCCTGGGGATCAACGCAAGAGTAGGCTAATAACTCGGCGGGCGGCCTTAGATAACCTACTGTGTTCTTTATACTATGATACCATGGTTTAGTTTCATCCAATCTAAGATACGGCATTATATTTTGGGGGAATTCCACTAATAAAGAATTAGTATTCAAAGCCCAAAAGCGTTGCTTGAGAACCATGTTTAAGTTAAAGGTCACGGACAGCTGCAAGCATTTTTTCATAAAATATAAAATTTTGACTGTACCCTCTCTTTATATTTTAGAAAGCGCAATGTTTATTAAGAGCAACCTAACCCTATTTCCACGTCTAAGTGATACGGTTGTCCGTAATAGACGTGATAATAGCAAAATTAGATTAATTTATTCAAAAACTAGCTTAATGAATAACAGTATATATTGCATGGGCCCAAAAATTTACAATAAAATTCCTAAGCTCTGGAAAGAATACAACACAAATATATTCAAAAATAAATTGAAGGATTTTCTCACCAATAAGGCCTATTATAGCATTAGGGATTTTCTACAGGACCACATAGACTACTAACTATTATGACACATTTTATTTTTCAATATTATTATTAATATTATATATTTGACATTTTATATTAAAGACATATGAATTGTATTCACTCTTGTTTTTAGCTTTTATTGACATATTAATTTTATTAATTGACATTCACATTTCATATATGTAATTGACTACTATGTTTTTAGCTTTTATTGACATATTAATTTTATTAATTGACATTCACATTTCATATATGTAATTGACTAAAGACGGAATGGACATGATGGTTTTTGGGCTTGTTGTGGCTGCGTGTATGACGGTCAATTATAATAAACTTCATTTGTTTAACATTGCTTGTGTGACATTCATAATTGTTGATTACCTTTTTACAAAATATATTTAATTTGACATTACATTTTTGACTTCAATGGTATTAATAATTTTAATTTATTTGACATACTGTATTCAATTTAACAAAACTACAATTAATTAAACTTATTGTACCTAATTTTATTATATAATTTTTTTATAACATATCTTTGCATGCCAAGTGATGGCAAAATATGGAGAAACTGTATATTTTGTTAATACCTATATTATGTACCCATGTTTGCAAACGATTAAATGAATTTGAATGAATGAATTTGAATTTGAATTACACAAATAATTACTCCATACGGTATCGAACCCGCTACACATTGCGCGGCAGCCGGTTGCCCAGCCACCGCGCCAACTGAATCTAGCTTAACGATGTAATAATTAAGAAATAATTGGTGAAGAATAAGATGATAATTGGTGGTAAAGTGGATGACTCCAAAAGAAAAAAATATATTATTTTATTTAAAAAGACGGATTATAAGTTTAATTGCATTTATATTTAAATAATAAAACTTTGTCTCATATTAAGATTTTTCCTGTGCTACAATCAGTTTGTTTTTTTATAATAAAAACGTACATATAATCCACTAACAAATTGGTTGACCCCAGTCCAGACCAACAATATTTCAATCGAAATATCTGACTTTAATTTGTTTGTTATTTCAGGGCTGCTGGTGGACTTTTCAACTGGCCCTTGATCCCTGTAAGTATTAAGGTTTTCAAATACATAGGTATATTAACAACAAAACTATCTATGTATATATATAACATCACGCCTTTTATCCCCGAAGGGCTAGGCAGAGGTGCACATTATGCCACTGTAGAATGTAACACACACTTTTCACTATTTATGTTATGAGTCCCATGTAATAGGGGGTCAGCCTATTGCCATATACTGGGCACATTTCCATACTCCGTGTTACTACTGAGATTTTTAAAACCCAGTAATACTTTGCCTGACCCGGGAATCGAACCCGAGACCCCTAGCCCGGCAGTCGCACTTGCGACCACTCGGCCATCGAGGCAGTCATTCTAGATTGTGTCTATAATTTCAGAAAATAATTTAACTCTACCTACCTACCCTACCCTACTTAGAGGAGCGTACGGCGCGTAGCGTTCCGCGCGCGCCTCAAAGAGCCATCAGACCACCACAGATGGGGCCCAATAGGGCCGATGCCGATTCGGAGTCGCGGAGAACCTAACGGGTAACCGGGGCTCCGGCTCGACGTGCAGGAGAAGGAACGGGGTGGTTTATAGTCAGTGTCAAGAGTCTGACACTCCCTTCCGCCTCACCCAGGCGGGAGCAGTCATTCGATGATTTTCCCCCCTTAAAAAAAAAAAAACCCTACTTAGAGAAACTGGTAGGTATTTCATGCTATGGCAATTATAAATATGAATTTTCTTGGTCACAGAATTTCCAGGACATCCAGAAAGCTCAACAAGATATGATGAACAGACAACCAGGACCCAACGAGAACTACCATGCGGCTAGTATAACATCGAGCTCACAGAACGGGAAGGTTGTCACTTCTTTCTACGAGAATGATAACGGAAAGAAGAAGGAATACACTATTACTAACTAGATAATTGAATCAGCTAGGCTGTAACTTTCAATTCGATTGTTGAAGTGAATTTGATCGTGATCCGCCATGTTATTGATTGTGTGAATATCTCGACCAATGACGGGTGAGAATGCGATCGAGCTCACTTTGAAATTAGAATTGACAGTTACAAAATAAACTGGCTGTTGTGGATTCATGCCGTATGAATGTTTAAGCGTAAATAAATTCTAATAAAATCGTTATATTTGTGTTTTTGTTGCCTGATTCTTAAATGTTTCTCTAAGAACTTACCTTAATGTACGTTCTTCGATTTTCCACTTTAATTAAACGTTACTGACTGACCTTATCCACTACTAGTTGTTGTCCACGAATAAGTATGAATTTTAGAACATAACATTTTTTATTTCAATTTTTATAAATCTGACTGACAACAAGACTGCCTCGTTAGCCGAGGTCGCAAGTGCGACTGCCGGGCAAGGGGTCTCGGGTTCGATTCCCGAGTCGGGCAAAGTACTATTGTGTTTTTTACATGGGACTCATAACATAAATAGTGAAAAGAGGGTGTTACTTCTGTGTGCACCTCTGCCTACCCTTTCGGGGTTAAAAGGTGTGATGTTATGTTATGTTTTATAAATAAAAGTAGCCTATGTTACTCCTTAGTATATCAGCTACCTGCCCATAAAAGTCTTGTAAAATCGGTCCAGCCATTCCAGAGATTAGCCCGTACAAGCAGACAGACAGACAAAAATTGTAAAAAAGGTTATTTTGGTGTTTATCGTATGTAGAGGTATATTCATATGCATGTAGTAAATAGTGGTTATTTTAATATTACAAATAGACACTTTAATTTAATTTATTTCTATAGATTAGTACACAAGTTAGAACGATAGTTTCCTCATCAACTATGTTGTTGTTAACTAATTCAAGTTTCAAAATTAATTTTAGCTAAAGCAACTTTTATACCTAACAAGGAAAAATCCACAGAACATATAAAGAAGGCTAGAAAGGGAATAGTTCCTGATTTGTATTAGAACACGCGTCGCCGTTTGTCCCCCACTCTTTAACTTTACTACAAGCAAGAGACCAATACCTACGCGGAAAATGCACACAAATAAACAACACGCACTAGGTTAAAAGATTTGTTATTGGTCGTCACACTGACGCAATCACTTCGTTTGACATACACTAATACAGGCGTAAAAAACTCATATATGGTAGGGGGAGCGAAAGGTCGATTATTGATATCGATAAAATTAATGGCATCTAGCTTCTTAATTTACATGTATTGCGGACTATGCGGATTTGTATAAGGCATATTGTGTACATGTATTTACGTTAATGTAAATAACTATACATAGAAAAATTCATAACTGATTTTTAAAATCAATTACATTATTAACATTAAAATAATTTGACATGGAATATAATTATAAGTAAATTGTTGATTGGTAGTAATCAAAAAAGTATAAAAAACCGAAAAGGTATTATTTCGATTTTGTTTTGTTTTCAACTGTAAGTTTTATAAAAATAAAAGGAGTCCGGGAAGTCATGGGGTCAAAAATAATAGATTTTTACTTAATTCAAAATATATAAAAAATTGCGTAATTTCTCCCTAAGGAATGAAAAATCATAAAATAATGAAATATTGAGAATTATCATAACGTAACCATATCATGATATATCTAATCTGTGCTCAAAACTCTGTTATTGTCTCTGTTAGATATCATCATGACATTCGTATGATGACAACCGATAATCGTCGTTCGTATTTCTTTAATAGTATAAATAGGAATTATTATATAGTTTCGGTTACATAATTTCCTTTACTGAATGTGAGTGGTGTGCAAATTAACTTAGAAAGTACGTATAAGTTGTATGAAACAGCGCCGCAACCTCCAGGCCAACACAATATTTTAGCTCACGTAAATTAAGTCAGCTCTAAAAGCTCTGAAAACTAGAAAAGTCATCAGGTGTACATAGCTATTCTTAAAAAAGGTACAATACAATCGCTCCCAGGATATAATGTCATTTTATTTGTTGTCATAGCTTTGTTCTCGAATAGAAAACCTCAACAACTATTTTAAATTATTGACTAAGATTTCGGCTGGCTTTTAAGAATTTCTCATAGTTTCAACTATTTACAATTTGGGCCTAAGCATGTATGAAAGAGTATCCATCTTACGAAAAATGATTTAGATGTCGCTTAGATGATATCAAGGTAGAAATGTAAAATAAAATTTCCTAAATCATAAAATCAGTCTACTTACTGAACAAAACATAACGAACACATAAAAATTATATAAAACTGAAATACGAATAAAATGCCTCACTTAAAACCTATTTCATAATTAGTCGTAATAAATAAAATTATTTTAGTTATAATGTGTATAATTTGATAATAATCCTTTGTATCATAGTAATTATCGACATTGTTTACAAATTGACACTTCTCTATATCGATTCGAGGAAATGACGTTTTGATTTGATACTCGGGACTCTCGTTGTGAACGTAATACATTGCGCGATCGTTTATGTAGTGCAAAATGGTACGTATCTATTGCAAGCAATGTATACTGCTTGCGATAATGTCGTTTTTGTCTAGAAACGTCATAATATTAATGTTATAATTACAAATATCACAAGTATATTAATGTTTTTGGAGTCACTGGTGGAAAGAAATCCCTTCTCGTGCTACATTGCACACCTGTCTTCTTTTCCGACACATTACAATAGTCCAAGACGGCATAATTTAATATTATTTGCGGAGTTTCGTACGCTGTCACAACAACATTGCGTTTGATGGCCGGTTTTTGACATTTTGGTAGATTTGGAGTATTTGGTCATAACCGCGGCACGCGTGTACCGCCCACAAGGCCGTTCTATCCTCCTTTATATGTTCTGTGGAAAAATCCAATCTATAAAATGACATTACACAAAGATCATTGTAGGTATTAAATCAAAATAACATATTATTGTAATGTAAATTTATTTAAATGTAGTTTAATAAACTGTAAATACGAATATTATGTATGTAGAGCTATAAAATCGCACCTTATTTTGTACCTACAACATTTAGCGAGTCCAAAGAATGTTAGGTATTATTATTCGTCTTTACATTTATAGCCGTGTAATCTGTAATGTCGTGGTGGCCCGAAGGTTCAAGACGCTGGCTTCTCATGCATGAGAATGCGGGTTCGAAACCTACCAACGGCAAGTACCAATGTGACTTTTTCCGAGTTATATGTACTTTCTAAGATTATTTAGACAGCACTGACAAACGTGAAGGAAAACATCGCGAGGAAACCTAGGCTTATAATTTCAAATTATAAGTTTGTAGTCGCCAACCCGCACTGAGCAAGCGTGGTGATTAATGCTCAAAACTTCTCCGTGTGCGAATAGGCTTTGCTCAGCAGTGGGTATTTATAGGCTGTTGATGACATTTATAACCGAAGATTTGGTGAAATTCATACCACTTAACTAATTGCCAAGACTATGGATTATGCCATATTCCTTCTTCGAACAACAGCGCACAATATCACCTACCTATATGTAAATAAGACCCAAGACCTAAGCTTTTTCCATTAAAAATAATATGTATACCGCCTGAAAAATTTAACAACGCAACATCTACACGTTGCACTTTGCTAATGTGTAAGTGAAACTGTCAACTTGAACTACAACAATACAATTAATCATTATGTAGATAACTTAAAAATATTTTTATATATAAAAAAACATAATTAAAACTAGGTCTTTGAAAACAATTGTCAGTAGAAGTACAGAGTCTTGAAATGTGCCCGGTATATGGCAATAGGCTCACACCTATAACATGGGACTAATGACATAAATAGGGAAAAGTGGGTGTTACATTGTATAGTGGTATTAAGTGCCGTAATGTGCACCTCTGCCTATCCCTTCGGGGATAAAAGGCGTGATGTTATGTATATATGTACTAGCTTCTGCCCGCAACTTTGTACTACGTAATATTTTCAGGATTTTTTTCTATCATAAAAACCTTCTCCTGACAATACAAACAAACAACAAAAAATAAATCAGCCAAATCGGTCCAACCATTCTCAAGTTATGTCGTGACAACAGGAAACGGGTTCCATTTTTATATACTTACTAGCTTCTGCCCGCGACTTCGTACGCGTAATCCCATTTTTTTCCGTCCCCGTTCGTGATTTTCGGTAAAAAGTAAAAAAAAGTATTGGTTTAAAAGTATCCTATGTCTGTCTCCTGGCTCTAAGCTACCTCCTTACCAATTTTCAGCCAAATCTATTCTGCCGTTCTTGAGTTATAAGTGGTGTAACTAACACAACTTTCTTTTATATATATAGATATAGATATATTAAAAACTTTATCCAGATAAATGACAACCAAGTTCATCAATCGTGCTTGAGGCTTAAGGTCAACAAAAATCCAAAAGAAAAAAAAAAACAACATCGATAATCCAAATTGGAATTAAAGTATCTCGGGAATATATTCCAAATATATTCCAGACAGTAACTTAATACGAGAATTGACGTAATACCTTATTCTTATCCAGCTATGACGAAATAGGCCTATTGTCCCTTCCTATAAATATCTCAGACCCGTAGGCTTTGACGAGACAGAAATAGTTGACCTGTAACTAAAGATATAATAAAACTGCCTTGAATCGAATATTGAAGATTGGGAGAGCCATGCTTCGGCACGAATGGGCCAGCTTGACCGGAGTGATACCACGGCCTCACAGAAGACCGACGTGAATCAACGTTTTGTTGTGTTTCGTCGTGTGAGTGAGGTTACCGGAGGCCCAATTACCCTCCCCTTCCTAAATCTCCCCAATTCATGAATCCCCAACGATCCTCAAACTCCTAATTCCCCAAAAGGCCGGTAACGCACTTGTAACGCCTCTGGTGTTCCAGGTGTCCATAGGCGACGCCGATTGCTTACCATCAGGTGATACTTCAGATCGTTTACCGGCTTATCCCATAAAATATTATTATATATTTTAGGCATCGACCGTTGTAATCAACTACATTGCGTTATCGCTGACCATTACGTTACGTATCACTTTTGTTTCAGATTTCAGAGTCGGATTATGTCATAACGTCACTGCAACTATAATTCTTTAAATAGGTGGTGCTGGGGTGATTATATTCCATGTAGCAACTACATTTCGTTACGTAATTAGTTCCATTCTAGCGCAGTAACTGTCTTCTTTGTACTA